CTCTCTCTCTCTCTCTCTCTCTCGTTTTTGTTTCTTATTCTGTGGTTCAGTTGACTGCTCCACGAGATTACCGGAGAATAAAATTCAATGACGCATGAGCCCCACCACCCAGCACGGGCGGCTTCTCAAACGCTCTCGCCAAGAATGTTAAGGACTTCTCTAATCTCTCATCTCTGTTCTCTTCCCAACACATAAAACGTTTTATTTTCAAGGACTGTAGTAATGTGGAACGGGCGTTATGAATAATTTCGTAGGTTTTTAAAATAAATTTTACAACCCGTTCCTGAAGAACTCAATTTTTATCAATTTAAACGGAATAAATTCGGCCATAAAATAAATATTTTATTTGTAAATAAAAAAATCTACCTGACAAACGTTAAGAAATTCTTGAGATTTATTCAGTAGTTTATTTCATTTTTCTTATGTTGTTTCACCTCTTATCACAAATTTTTGCGCAATAAGCCTATTTGTCTCAAAAGCGAATTTTAAAAAATGATGCATTAACTCCTAATGTACAGTCGGCTAGTTCTTCTGGCTCACAGCACCATCGCTTTGTTCTTCACAGCACCATCGCTTTGTTCTTCACAGCACCATTGCTTTGTTCTTCACAGCACCTTCGCTTTGTTCTTCACAGCACCATCGCTTTGTTCTTCACAGCACCATCGCTTTGTTGCTTACAGTCGTAGCAAAAATTTACAAAAGCTCAGCAAATCCATCTTATCGATAATTATAATCAAACTGTATGTTTACTGCATGGATCATTCATTCATTTTTACTCATTCGGTGCTTATTTTTATGCAAATAATTTAAATAGGGGTGGAGTTGTTATAGGGAAGTTTGTGGTGCTGAAGACGTGGCTGACTAAACTGGCTGCATACAAAGAAGGAATAGCCGTCCGTAGACTAGGAGTTAAAATCATAATCTTTTTTTTTTCCCTTTCTGGGCGGCTTATTTCATTCCTCTGCCCTCTTAGGCAAGCCTATTTTTTATCTTACAGAAAATATCTCCTACTTCTTTTTCCGTGATGCTTTTAAAAAAATGTGAGGCAGCGTGGTGGAATCAGGCTCTCGTCAATTTTTGGGTATATTGAGTTATAGGTATCATCTTAAAGCTTGTTCATTTGTCTTGCTTTCAATGAAAAAATTACCCATCCATCTTCAATAGAAGAGGAGATATTTTGGATTGAAGGTGGTGGGGGTCACCAGATTTAAAAGGTAAAATTAGCGAGAAAATGGCCGCCAAAGCTTGGTAAATTCCAAAGCTGGAGAGTCCATGGAAACTGTAAATTTATATTTTTGTGCCTTTAATCAACGTTTTCGGTGAAATCCTCAATTAAGGAATGTGTTTGTAAATGGACATAAAGGTGTTGAGCCAAAAAACAAAAATGTGATAAAAATTGCTAAGCAGGGAGAAAATGTTTTCTTCGATTTCATTATTTTGACGAGAGCCTGATTCCACCTCGCTGCCTCACAAATATAACTGTCTCGGAATGAATTCTCCCCTTCCCAAATGACCCCACAGTGTTGAAAGGGGCCTAAGACCTATACACGGGCCGAGCAGAGCTTACCGTTACCCTAACTGGCATTGGTCTCGTCTACGGAGCAAAAGCCTTGGTTCGAAACCCCGAACAGGGCGTTCTTCAACTTGAATCGTTTTTTGGGCTGTTTTTTTTTCTTAAGGCTCCCAACGTGGGTGGTTAGCGCGTACTGTGGAGTGGTTAGCGCGTACTGTGGAGTGGTTTGCGCGTACTGTGGAGTGGTTAGCGCGTACTGTGGAGTGGTTAGCGCGTACTGTGGAGTGGTTTGCGCGTACTGTGGAGTGGTTAGCGCGTACTGTGGAGTGGTTTGCTCCTTCTTTCATATCAAACATTTTTCATTCTTATTTACACCCCTTCTTTTCTTTGTATGTTACTAGACTTCATTTGACTCAAACCGAGCCTGTGGGTGGTTGGCTGGTGCTCTGGTGTGATTTGTTTCTTCTTTCTTATCAAACATCTCTATCGTCCTCATATCTCTTCCATTTTTTGCGAATGCTACTCTCTTGCAATACCTCTTATCTTCTTCTCACGTTTCCTCTGTTTTTGCCTGTCTTATTTTTTCCCAGCGCTAAAAGACCATTATTGTGCTGATGTGCTTCTCTTTACTCAAACAAACAATTACTAATCTAATCTTTGGCACTTATATTATATGACCTAATTGTGTTGCAAATGCCGCAAAACTTTTATTAAAACTCCAGGTCTTTGTTGATCTAGTTTGGACACGGGATGGTATGAGCGTGTGTGTTTGAGGGGGGGGGGGTATG